TTCACCTGCTTGTGGAAGGACAGCAAAAATATGGCCAGCCTGCCCTCCTGTGGGAGGGATTTCCAGAGTCTGGAATCGGTAACAAAGAAGTCCCTCTCCCATGTCCCAAACAAGGGTACCTGTAAATGTGATGGGACTGAGAGAAAGGCCTCCCCTGATGATAAACATTCAGGTAGACTTATAAAGGGAAAAGCAGTCTTTGAGATAGCTTGGACCCAAGCCGTTTAGGGCTTTATATGTTAAAGTCAACACTTACAATTATGCCCAGAAACACATTGGGAGGTTATGTGATCCTTGTAACCAGCTCCAGTTAACAATCTGGCTGCAGTGTTTTAGACCTGCTGAAGTTTCCAAATGCTTTCTAAACGCAGCCCCATGTGGAGCGTGTTACAATAACTCAGACAGGATATAACTAAGGCATGTACAGTATCACTATAGCCAAGTGACATCTCTCCAAGAATGGGCACTGGCACACTAGTTTTAACTGTGCAAAGGCACTCCTAGCTATTGCTGAAACCTAGGCATCCAGGCCCAGAGACAAATCCAGGAGCACGCCCAAGCTGCGCACCTGTGTTTTTAGAGGATGTGTAACCCCACCCAGCACAGTCTGAATCTCTTATTTCTTGATCTGTCTTTCAACTGATCAGGAGCACCTCTGGCTTGTCTGGATTAAGAGTCAATTCATTCACCTTCATCCAAGTCCATTACTGTTCACCAGACGCTGATATAGAACTGAAACAGCTTCCTCAGATTTAGATGATTATTAGAGATAGAGTTGGATGTCATCCACACACTGGTAACACCAAACCCCAGAATTCTGAACAACCTCTTCCAGTGGTTTCATATAGGCGTTATACTGCACAGGGGACAAAACAGAGCTCTGAGGGGTACCAAAGGCCAACAGGAAGGGCCAGAGCTGCCATAAAACAGTGCCTCTAAGATCCATCCCAAAGGGACAGTCCAGAAGGATACCATGGTCAATGGTATTGAAAGCCACTGACAGATCTAGCAGAACCCAGGGACACACTCTCCCTACTCAGTTCCCAGCCCAGATCATTCACCAAGGCAACTAAAGCAGTCTCGGTTCCATAAGCAGGCCTGAAGCCAGACTGAAATGGATCTAGATGATCATCTCATCCAGGAACCCCTGGACTGAGGCAGCCACGACCCATTCTATCACCTGACACAAGAATGGAACGCTAGAGACTGACCAGTAATTATCTAATACCATGGGATCCAAGGAGAGCTTTTTTCAAAGATGGTCTTAGTACTGCTCCCTTTATGTGTGCAGCGATCCTACTCTGCGGCAAGAAGGCATTCACCATTCCTCCTACCCCACTCAACAAAGCTCTCTCTGGCAACTTTTGAGCCAGGAAGGGCAAGGGTCCAACAAACGTGTTGTAGCCTTCACCTCTCTGAGGGTACTGTTCATATCATCAGGCTGCAAAAATGCAAACTTATTAACACAGGATAAACAGGGCCCATAGTTAGATTTCCGGGACCCATATCAAGTACAGAATCCAAGTCAGAACAAAGGATTAGAACAATGGTCCAAACCGTTCGCGATCGGTGGGCTTCCTCATGGGTGTACTCCTCACCGCGCAGATGGTTCCATAACAAGGGTATCTGGCCCAGTCTCCCCCCGGTGATGGATTGTTGAACGAGGAGACCTGCCGGACCACCTTCTTCCAGCGACCTTGTCCTTGCGTCAGTCGCCCTCCGGTGATGGACTGTTGAACAAGGAGACTTGCCAAACCACCTTCCAGCGACCTCGTCCTTGTGGATATACCACTACTGTCCATTCTAGGGAGTCCACTTGTATCTCTTTTCCTTTGGAGAAGTCAGGATTAGGCAACAATCCTTCTGTCTTCAGATTGGGGAAATCTTCCAATAGCCCTCTCATTCTATCATATTTGTCTTCTTTCTCCCTCTCTCTCCTTTTTCCTCTCTTCTCTCTGACATTCCCAGTATTCTAAATTGTCTCCTCCCACTCTGACCTTTTACATCTTCCTCTCATAAAGGTAAAATTAACTTCTCCTCTCCTTCTCTCTCTTTCTCCTCTACCAAGCAAATCTCAATCCTTTCCTCTTTTTCCTTCAGTTCCATCTTTGTCTCTTCCTCTATGTTCACCCCTTTGTTTTCTAATGTCTCTCCTATTCTCTCCAGTTCATCTCACTGGGGTGTCTTTTGGTGAGGGACAGCTCACTCTCCACTTTCTTTACTCTATCTCTCTTTCACATCCCCACACTCTGGCCCTTGACATACACACCTCAAGCTACTGTTTGGTCCTTCTTCCTGTTGAAAACAAGAAAAAAAAACAATCCCCTTTCTTGCCTCTCCTGCTCCTCCCACTTCAGAAGGGAGGAAGTGTTTAATTTCCCAATACAGTATTGTGAGATTCTGAAACTGTCTTCTTAAGCTACTAAACAGTGTTGTGAAATATTTAATTGTAACAATTAAATACTGTAACAATATTCTGGAAATTTAAAGCCACAAGCTCCACCTTAGTTCAACAATCACAGGTGCTGGAAACAAACCAAAATGGAGCAATCCTACCCCTACCAAAAAAAAAAAAAAAAAAAAAAAAAAGACAGTAGCCCTTAACAGGTACCCAAAAAGGTGCCAGTAGGAACGGGCTGGTTCCCTTTAGTAGTCACATCCTGTAGTCGCTGAAAAAGGAGCAAACCAAGCCCTTCCTGCTGCGGACTAAACAGCTGAACAAATGGCTGTCTAATTGTACCCTTAATACCTAGTACAATTATCTCGAATTTCAGATGGCACAGAGACTAATAAACTCACTCCAAAACGCTCAAATAATGCCTTTAGGTAATTTAGAACCAAATGTACGGAAATATATATACAGTGCTAGTTCCTACTACAATGGAAATTATTGTACAGTACTCCTTCCCTTGCCTGGAACAGACACTGTAATACAGTACAGTATCTCTCACGGATCAATCCTCTCATGTTCTGGGGAGCTTACTCAGCCGAGGATCGCGGAGGTTACCAATGAAAAGGCGCCCTATTTGCGCGCATGTGAATGGAGCAGCGCCAACGCGTCTGCGTCCGGCTGGAGTGTTGGCTTCCCACGTGCGTTATTGGTGGCGCTTCATGTAACGAAGATTACACCAGAAGTTTATTGGGGCATGTACTTATCAGTAGACCCTATTGTGTGAAACTCATGAGAAACTGCGCATAGGGTTGCCACTTCAGTTGTTCCAAGCCAGGAATGAAATCCCAGCAAAAATATATCTCCTGAAAAATAGAACCCAGATTATAAACTCTTTTCACAATCCGGTACCCTAAACCTGGAGTTCTGCAGAACAGCGAGGCATGTGGTCTTACTATGGCGGTAGAAAGACAGACGCAGCTCCTAAGGAAGCCGGGAGAGGTGGAGCACTCTATCTTTTTCTCTCTCTGTGGTCTCTCTCTCTCTCTCTCTTTCCGACTTCATTTTAGCACCTGCAGCAGCTGCAACCAGGGCGAAGGAAGAAGGAGCAAAGGGCTGCTGCTGGCGCGCCTGAGAGGCAAGGTTAAGCAGCTTTCTGGGTTAGTTCGGTTCTTTTTCTCCTTCGTTCTCTTTTCAGGGAGGGGGAAAGTGGCTTGGTCTTTCAGAGAACTACTTGCAGCCGATCTTAGCAGGTGTTACCTTGTGATCCTCTTCGCAAACCCCAGCCTTGCAGCTTATTGAGGAGATCGGAGCCAAAAATAACGGTTTGTAATAATGATAATGATAATGATAGCGTGGCGCTGTAATCTAGGAATGCAAGATCAAATGTTCAGAGAAGTGACGGCTGAAATCCGGAGAACCCCTTGTGTGGCATGGTATCCTTGAGATAAGGATGCTCATGGTGGTATATAATGTTGAGCTCAGAAAACAGCTATATCTTTGAAATGAGATAGGGAAAATTTAACTGCTCTGTTGTAAGTGAAGTGCTTCTGCATCTCTGCTGTGATTGTGGGGTTCCTATTCGCATTCGTATACAGTATGCTGTAATGTCATATGTTTTTCACTGCAGTCATGCAAGCTGGATGCATCAACTTTCTCAGTCGGTCAGAAAATACTGTAGATTTTCACATGAGTTGTAGAGTTCCTGGTTCAGTGAGAATTGTTTCTTCGTGCAGATCTTCCTCTTTTAAAGCCAGCTCCTTTTAGAGGCAGTAGTGGTGGGAAGTTGCACCAAGTGCATCTTGGTTTCCTGCCGTATATTGCTGTGCGTGATATGAGGAATGGAAAATTCCAGTGGAAGTAATCAAAATACATTTGAAAGAAGAATACATTTAGGTGAATATCTACAGCTATAAAACATTCTCCTTTTGGTATATTTTTCTATGGAGAAAGATTATTTACTCAGACCTTTCTTTGTATGCTTTGAAATTCGCTAAAATCTTTGTCTGGAGAAAAGAAGCTTTGTGAGCTTTGAAAAAAAACCTTTTATATCGTGCTTATTCTAAAATGTCCTTCAATATATGCAGCTAACTCAAGTGAGAGTGTTAATTCTCTGGAAAAGCTGGCCTGGGGGTGGCGGGGGGGGGGGGGGCTGACACATTTGAAGGGGGGCACAGACTGAATAATGTGGGAAGGGGATTTTCTATTCATCTGTTCAAGTTTTAACCTTGTTGGCCAGGGTGAAAAGAAAAGCTTGAGAATGGCTGCTCTAGAATAGCCTGTCTCCTCAGTTTTTGTTTTCATAATTTTGAGAACTGTTTATTGGTGCTTTACATGGCAACCCTCTATATTTCCTCAGAATTAGGTTCTGTTGTGTTCATTTGAGGGTTGCAGCCTTCATTAGTTTTTGTAGAAAAAGTTAAGGGCAGGGAGCTAAATGCTTTTTTCACAACATCCACTGCAAACTGGCCTCTTTCAGTTTGGACTCTGCAAGGAAATTAATCTACCAACACAACTTCTAAAGGCATGAAAGTGTATAATTCAATACTTGTTCTCATTGGCAGACAGTATTCAGCGTCACATGGAAGTATTTTGACTTAATATCCCTTAACAATGCTGTGGGAAAGAAGGAGCCATGTCAGAAGACGCAGCTAGTGAAACACCGTTTTCCTTGAAGACAGTAGCTTTAAGAGTATTTGATTTTCCTCTTTCCTGGTATTACTCTCTAATCAAGGTTGGTATTGCATCTCTTTATTCCTGTGTAATACTTTGAGAAGACTGTTTATGCTTCAACATCTAACAGGGTTTTACACGATCAGCTACTATATATACATATTTCATTAAAGTGAAATGTTTGTACATAAAATTTTTGCATTGGCAGTTCTAACCATTACAAAACAGAGCATGTGTTCTAAGCATGTATTGCTAAAATCCACACCCTACAGTATTTTCTTATCAGCAAATGTTGTGGAATGCTTTAGCCAGTGTTTCTGATTTATTTCCATTCAATGAATTTCAGTTTTGCTCCTTACATATGCGCTAACTTAAAGCAAGAATATGGAGGCATCATTTCATTTTTGATTATGATTAGTGAAATGGGGAAGGTAGAAGTAATTTAGAGCAGGCGTGTTTGGTGCAGGACCAAATGCCACATCTGTATCTAAAACAGACTAGGGCGGAGTCCTGACTGCTAAGAATATAGCTGCATTTAAAGAAAAGAGGGAATATTCAATTGTTATGATCATTTGGAGAGAGGACTGAATTTAGCTAGACAAATGGCTTCTGTTTCATTTGCCTCAATGGAAATTGTACTCACAATGAAATGACTCAGAAAAGCAGGTTCTGCTCACCCCTGACATAAGAAAAGGAATCCATAGGTGTCCAAAATATAAATTGAGAAAGTAAATATTAATGTGTTCAGATATGCATGTTGGGCTTTGATTGTTGAGGCTTTCTTTGTAAACAAAACTCATGTATAGTATTCTCACAGTACAGTACTATTTATCAGCAACAGGCAAATCACATGCAGCAGTAGAATGCTGTGTGATGGCGGATGACTATGCAGCATGCAGGAAAGATACTAAATCAGCTGGAAATCTTTTATATCCAGCACTCCAAGTTGCTTGTGCAGACAGGATCTTGATCTGGGGGTCCACAAATATAGCCCCTGCACTTCCCAGCTGTGCTCATAGAGACCAGCCCCCATCCTCAGCTGGGTAGGAAAAAGTGTATCAGTGGACACTATCAAATTATACAGTCTTACTTTAATGTATCAAATATATAATTAAACCGTTTGTGTACTGTACTGAGAACTATTTAAAAAAATGTGATCACTAACTCAATTGTAATATGTTTGTTCATAATGTTCAAATATTATATGGCAACATATATCATGCTATGTTATATGCTGCCATACAATAATGCAAAGATATACATAAGGATGTGTCTAAAATATGTTTACCATGTTATGTAAATGGATACATGAAATACGCTCAGTTATGGAGCAGAGTTTGTGCATTTGAACCAAGTGCAGTAACATGCCTGCAGTGTGTGGGGAGCACCTGAGGTTTCACATTAAAACATCAAACACTGTTTTTAGAAATACATTCACTACCTAGATATCAGAAGAGTATCTGTGGTAGACTTATGAAGCAAAAGAGGACAAAGTCTTAAACATTGTTTTGTAGGCTTTTTTGCTTCTTATTCATGAAGTACACCGAAAAGGAAACAGGTGACCCTGACAGAAGATAAGAACAAAGTTAATAAGATATTTATTGAATGTTATCTAAATGTCAAGTTGTGGGTCTGTTTAGTAGTTCCAATGTGTGGGTTTTTACTAACAGGCTCTTATACAAGTAGTGACATAGAAGCAGTGAGTGAAAATCACAATTCTATTCATCTCACAATTGTGAGTTTTTAAAATCTGCATATTTTATTCATAAAATATATGCTATCTATATTATTATAGTAATACTTTTAAATAACTGTTTTACAACATAAATTTAAATTTACTATAAACATAGTAAAATCTCAGTTGTAACCTCAAACAGAAATTATGAAATCTCATCTGCCAAACTGAACTGAAGCAAAAGTACTTGATGTCTGAGGATAAAAACCTTATAAATGTGGTATATATTGTGTTTCTGATCATTGAACTTGTGTCAAAACCTAAGATTTCACAATGCAGCACAGATGCTAGATTCTAGAAGATAGTGTCTTCTCGTCATGGCCTACAAAATGTGTACATGGAGACATACCCAATTAATGTTATAATTATGTAGCTACTGTTTTCCTGAAAATAAGTCCTGCCCCCCAAAATAAGCCCTGCCCCCAGTTAAGTGAAACCCCTGCCTCCACCACAGACTCATTGTGCAGCAACCAAAAGAAGATGACATGACTGTATTTGGATAAATGTAGATGGTTGTACATGAAAAAAAAAATAAAACACCACCTGAAAATAAGCCCTAATGCGTTTTTTGGAGCAAAAATTAATATAAGACCCTGTCTTATTTTTGGGAAACATGGTATCTGAATTTTGTAATGGGTTCACTTCTGGATATTTATGTATGTAGTATGCAAACAAGAAAGATATTCTGCTACTAGTCCTTTCTTGAAACTTCTTAGGCATTTATGCTGGAACTGCACACATTCTTCTTTTTACAGATGTCTTTTGTTTTAGAAACTCCATCCACTCAGCCGGTAATCTGTAGGGAAAGACAATGTTCAGAGATGAAACGGCTTTCTAATCTCTTCTTCTTGGGCCCTTTCCAGCTGAAAGTAGCTTTCCTTAAGCTGTAGTTAGCCTTCTTCAGCTATGGGAAAGATGTACTCTTTAAGTCATACTCTTTGTCTTGTTACTCATTTATAATAATTTTTGAGAGGAGGAACTCTGCCTATTCCAGTATGGTTTCTCATTTAAGCTTATAAAATTAAATCATTGCCAAGCTGGCTGGGAATCATGCCAGCTGTAGTCCACCAGATCTATCACATTGTGATAGGCTGAGGTAAACTAGGACATTTTGATTTGGTATAAAGTGTAGAGCAGGGGTGAGCAATTAATTTCTATAGGGGGCCACATGAAAAATCTGAATTGTGTTCGGGGGCCGAACCAACTTTACTTAAAAATAAAAGATAAGCAACTGATCAACTTTAGACAAAAAGCTATAAATGGTTTTGATGTTCAACTTGTTCAGTGAGAGAAATCCAGTCTGTCTTGGGCTTGAACAAGTGCTTGAACATCGGACTGGAGTGATGACTGGCGCGGCGGACAGGAGAGGCTTGTGGGCTGTATGTGGCCCTCGGGCCGCACTTTGCCCAGGTCTGGTGTAGAGAAAGGTCTTTTATTATGGTCTGCCAGTTTCTGTAATTAGAGTGCTAAACTGTTCTCTGTAATATGTGCATTACCCAGCTGTTCAGATTTGCAGGTGCAATTTGTTTTCTGTTTTGATCAAAATGTAAAAGTCACTCGTTCAGTATGATGGCTAAAAGAAGGGGCAATACTTGCTTATCAAACATGGTATGCAGAGATACCATTTTCTGGCCATATATTGAATTTGTTGTTCTTACAAAAATTCTCTGCTCTTTTTGAAAAAACAAATGTTTGTTTAACATGAGGCATTGTATATGGCTTTGATATTTCCCATGTAAATTTAAAATGTGTACCCTCCCTGACTGATTGGCTGCTGAGTGTTTTTTTTAATGGATTGTTGTACAGTACAGTATCTTACTGCATTGAATTTGTTTTGGTGTTGCTTACTTTTTAGTATTGTATTTGATTCTTTTAGTATTGTATACCCGCTATTGTTAGCTTAAATACTGTATTTAATTGTCTTTTTAAAACATTTTATTAGTTTTTTAAACCAACTACATTCAATTCATGCTTGTTAAACATCGTGTTACATGGGTTGCTTATAATTATTTGGTTTTTGCGTCTTGATGTCTTCTTACTTGTTTCTTCAAAATCTCTGCATTTTTTAAACATTTAAGCCGTTCATGTGTATATTTTAGTATACAATATTGCCTGCTATCATAATATTGCTCTCAGAGTATAAAATGTTCTCAAAATCCTCTAAAAACATACCTAATAAAAGTAATTCCGGTTCCAAATCTATATAATTTTGAGGTGATTTAACCGACGAACGTTGTATTTTATACCAATAATTACTGAGTAGGTTCTTAACACCATAATAGATGTTATCTAAAGCACTTTATACAGATTTTCTTTATATAATTGTTTAGCCATTTCTATCTCCACATTTTCTATCACGTCTATATCAATATCATAGCTAATGTATATTCATTAAGTACTATTTGTTTTGTCCCGTCCTATATCTAGCTTCAATTTACCTTAAAAATCACAGTGGTACGCAAGCGGGATCTGAAAGCCTTAGGAATGGACTGAAACAGATGGGAAACCTTGATATCTGAGCCTTCAGCCTGGAGGCAGGAGGTGCATCATAGCCTCTCCCAATTTGAAGAGACCCTTGTCCAGCAGGCCGAGGCAAAGAGGCAGTCCCGAAAGCAGCAAAATCAGGGAGCTGGACAGGGGACAGATTGTATTATCTTCAGTGTGGAAGGGATTGTCCCTCTTGAATTGGCCTTCTTGGCCACACTAGACTTTTCCAAATCCTCTACACAGAGCACGTAACCAAAGTCTCTCGAGACTGAAGGGTGCCTAATCTAAATGCCTTTACCCTGATTTGTTGTTGTTTAGTCGTTAAGTTGTGTCCAACTCTTTGTGACCCCATGGACCATGGCACGGCAGGCCCTCCTGTCTTCCACTGCCTCCCGGAGTTGGGTCAAATTCATGTTGGTAGCTTTGGTGACACTGCCCAACCATCTCGTCCTCTGTTGTCCCCTTCTCC